TAGTTAGTCGTAGTAGTAGCAGCAGCAGCAGCAGGAGTAGTAGCAGCAGGAGCACAGTACGAGAGGAGGAGTAGCAGTCGTCGTCGTCGTCGCCGTCGGTGCTGCAACAGCAGAAGGAGTCTGGTTAGTGGTGAGTAGGGGAAGTCGTAGTAGTTGCACGAGTACCGTGCAGCCAGCCTCCGGATAGACGTCAACCGACTTCCCAGCTAGCCGAAGCCTTGCTCTCTCTGTGGGCGCTTTTATGGCCTTTAACCCACATACATAGGGTTAGAAGCTTCGGGGCTTAAGTCTAAGCTGTTCACTTGCAGCTACTGCTTCGTTCCGGTCAGACTTCCCACGCTGGCATGCGCGGCCTTGAGCACGCTGCATGCATCCCACAGCAAACTTTGCCATAGGTCCGGAAGTCTCGACAAAACTGATAAAGACGCGCTCGGCGGCGTTTGCGGTGTGAGGTTCCTGAGGTCCTGCAGCGCCCGCCTTCTGACATTTGGTCAAAGATAAGAGACTTTACGGGGAAGTGCTGCAAGAACACCCAAAACAATTCGACTCTCGAAGAACCCAGGTCTCTTTAGGTTTGAGCGCTTTACTTTGGATCTCCCGATGCGCTCACAATGCAGGGGACGCAAAACCGCAAAAAAAGTCCGAAACAACTGGAGACCGCCCCATCAGAAATTGACTCCGTCGGCAGCGTCCCAAACAGCAAGGAACCCCAGACCAAAGCCTTTCCAGCAAATCAGAGGAAGGCCCTGAGGTAAACTTCATAAACCCTTGACCGGTATATCAAAAGGAACCTCCAGAACAGCATAGGTAATGATTAAGGCCTCTATCTTAAGCCGATACGCCCCAAAGACTTACGAACCCGAAAAGCTCCGAGCAGAACGACTGAGCCATGTGGGCATCTGAGCAGGAGACCGACGAGCCACATTCATGGCCTCTCTTTGTTGACTGGAAAGGGAACCCATGGAGGCCCAATGATTGTTCAATGCCCCTTTGGGAAAGCAAAAATACCCGTAGACATCCGAAAATCATACTGAGAAGGAGCCCTCAGCCTCTATGAGGTTCTTCGGCCATCATGATTGTTGGGAACAGTTAGGAGCCTTTTGGGATTCTGTGGTTTCGGGCTTCTCTCTGACGCTCCACGTAGGACGAGCAAGACTTACTATGGGCCTTCGAGGACCACGCCGCTTTGGCAGTTTCAGATAGGGAGCCCCACTAAACGATCAAACAATACCTCTTAGCTTTTCTCCTCAAAGCACCCAGAGACTCCAATATCCCTTAGTTAAGGAATATTCCTTAAATTGTAGTAGGATTTTCAATATGATTTAAAGGTATATTTTCTTGATTAAGGGATGTTGGAGTCTCTGGGCACCGTCGGCTTAATGAGCAGAGTCTAGGGGGTGCCCTTAGAACCCTTAGGAGAGAGAGAGAGAACGTGGCAAGCTCTGAAGTGTTCATGCTCCGGGCTCGCCTTTCCCATCATGTCTGCGTTGTAGGCTGCCACCACCATGTCCACAGAGGGAGGCAGATCGGGCAGCACCTGCCGAGAGAAGGTGTGAGGCTTGGGGTTTTCCAACGCTTGGCATCTGCAACTGAGGCAGCAGATCATCAAGAGACATGGAGTTGGTGCCGTCACGACTGTAACATGCCGCGACCTGTCCTAACTGGACAGCGACGTGACAGCAAACCTAACTTGATGAAGCCAGTGGGCGGTTCGCCGACACTTCTTTCTGTCCCTGCCGGCGTGGCGTGGCACATGGTATCGGGGGTACGGAAGGTAGGAAAGGAAAGGACAATCAGCAGCTTGCCCTTCTGAAGCTAGGCACGCTAAACCAAACTCGAAAAGTCAGCTTCATAGCTTGGCAGCATCAAGACCATGAATCGGATGGGTTTTCGAGCACTTATAAGCTTGCAAGAAGCGGCGCCACCATGCTGTATAAAGCTGTGATGCAAAAGAGCAGGTTGAAAATTCTGCAGCAGTGCAGTGGACAGCCTGCCTCATCCTTTTCAGGACACTCTGTTTATCTCAAATCTTAATGCCTTGCTCCGGCTCGAACTTGGCCCCGAGCTCACTCAACTTCTTGTGGGCCTTGGCATAGTCCTTGAAGAAGGCGTCCTGATCCTTAGCATAAATGTCGAAGTACTTCTTGAACTCCGGGTCCGTGTGAAGAGCCTCGTCGGTTGGGAACCAAAGGAGGTCCTGATCCTCTGAGGCCAGCTTGTAGTCTTTGAAGTAGCTGTTGTCGAAGGTCAGCCAGTTCTTCGTCCAAGCCGCACCGCCAACCATTCCGACACCTTTCTGGCCATCCTTCCGCGCTAAGCAATCGGACTTGGTGTACTTCGATGCCCCCTGCTCACCATAGCCGAAAGGGCAGGCGCCACTGCGCTCCTTGAAGGCGCGGCCGATGGTGTGGGCACCAGAGAGTGCGACGATCTCCTGATCTGTGAAGCCCATCTTCTTCGTGAACACATTCCGAAGATGCTGTGCCGCCGTCGGTGCCCCGCAGCCGAAGGGAGGCTTGGCGTCGGGAAGCCCCGCGTTCCCCGAGAAGCCCTCCCTGGACCCTGATTTCACGCACTCGCTGTCGGAGGTGACTGCCACTCGGCCGTACTTCATGTCAATGGCAGGGCCACCGGCACATTCAATGGCAACGGCGGATGCCAGCTGGATGAGGTCAGCCCAGGAAATTTCGGGATACTTCTTCGCGAACTCATCGAGAAACCCTTTGGCTTTGTCGAGGCCGGCATTCGCACCGAAGTTCATCTCTCCTGCAAACCTGATTGCACCGTTGGCGCCACCCCGCTCCGGGAAGTTCTTGATGCGCTGATCATAGGTACCAGAGTCATGCCACGCCAAGCGAACCATGATCGGATGACAGTTTTTGCCGTCGATGAACTTCTTGAGGTCCTGTTTGCAGGCACGCAACTGCGAGACCTTCTTGCTGCCAAGCATGCCGAAGCAACCATCGGAGCAGGCGTTTCCCATGACGGTGGCACGGAGAGGGTTCCGAGGAGCAGGTATGTGGGCGCGAAGGATCGGCCCGAAATGGCTTGAGATTCAGGACACGATGCTCAGTATACCATGTGCACCACATAACATGTGAAACATGAGAGAATGCGTGAATGGAAGGATGGATGGATGGATGGATGGATGGATGGATGGATTGATGGATGGGATGAACGCCACGAATGGAATGATTGGAATGAAAGGATGGATGCATTAAGGAAGGATGGAAGGAAGGAATGAGTGGAAGTATACATAGCGATTTTAAATACATGAATGAGTTTGTGAATGATGGAAGGAAGGAATGAAAAAATGACGGCATGAAAGAGATAAGGAAATAAAGAAGGAATTAAAGTAATAATGAACGCAACAATGAATGAATGGAGGAAGGAAGGATGGACAGATGGAAGGATGGAATGAATGAGGGAAGGAAGCAAGGGATGAGTGGATGCATGGATTGAAAGGGATGAACCGATGAACGGATTTAATCAATGGAATGAGTGGGTTGAGTGGAACGAACGTAAGGAAAGGATGAATGGGAGGCGTGGGGTGAATGGCTTGCATGGAATGCAAGCCATTCACCCCACGCCTGGATGGAACGAACGGAATGAGTGGAATGAATGAAGGAAGGCCTGCATGCATTTATGCATGAACGAATGAATGACCTGCAGTGACCAGCTCTCAATCCTGGCTGGGTCCGAGCCTTCCGTTCCTGCAGAAGCTCCATGACGACCTGGAGTTGAGCTGTTCTCAGTCGAGACTCTTACAGCGGAAGGAGACAATGCTACGAGGAATCATATGGGTGGTTGTCCGAACTATGGCCACTTTCGGGCTCCCGAACTAGAGGGTGCCGTAATTTTGACAATTACCGATACTACAGGTGTCACTACTCGTTGGTGCCAGTCTCACCGGTTCAACAGCACAGCTTTTCGTGGAGTCATAACAGCGGACCTGGTGAATGATACAGACAAGATGTTAAACATCTATATTGACCTATATGTCTCAGGTGGGACAAAGCACCCCGCTTGACGGAACAGGGACTTCTCAATCAAGTTGGAAGACTCCACCGCTCTCCTTCGAGACGAGTGTGGGCGACCTGCATGCCACATTCCATGAGCTGCCCCTCAAACGGTGTCAAATTTAGGCCATGCAGGAATAAGACCCGACAATCCAAGCCTCCCGTAGAAACCGGAGGCTCCGAACTCACGTTGTATCTGCCCTGCAGCTTCTGCGACATGTCTGCTCCCTCCTACTCAGCAGGGACGAGCCCGCATTGTCTGGGGTTTAAGGCTTAAGGTTTCAGCTAGGGTTAGGATATCTCAACACTTGGTCCTGGACACGAAAACACAGCCGAAGCTGAAAATCCAACAAGACGAAAGAGTCACGAGTATCCCGCAAATGGCTCTACAATACCAGAGCTGCCTCACTGAAATCAGAAGGGCTTCACGGTTCAGTTCAGACGCCAGCATTCTGGCAGATGCTCGCACATCTGTTTCTTTTGCCTCTTGAAGTCTAAAGTCTAAACTTGGCAACACCCTACAAAACGCTAAGCTTGGTACGACCCTGAACTCTCTTGCCGCGGGACGCAGTCGCCGAAGCCGAAGCCCACACAAGGCACTTCCTGCCGCGGTCTTTGGCTTCGGGGGGTGGGAGCTCGGGTCTCACATCAGCTTCACGGTTTTCAGGGGATTTGAGTAGAATCGGCTTTAGGGGTTTAGGGTTTAGGGTTTAGGGGGTTTGCAAGATGTTGCTTTTGATGGGATTCTGAGACAAGACGGGCTCAGCATCAGCAGCACTGCCACCATCTTGGGCAATAGCATTGGAACCACCCCATCATCAGCAGCAGCATCATCTTCATCATCGCCACATTTCGATCTCTTCTTCATCTTCTGAATTCTGTTTAGCCGATGACGACAGCACGTGCTATGCGATGATAATGACAATGCCACCATCTTCATCGCCACCACATATGAACTGCACGCCAGCGGAGGAAAACATAGTGTCGATGCAAGAGTGTAGCAAACCACTTCAGAAGAGGCGAACCTGCAGCGGCATATGATATGATGTCAAGGTCCTAAGAGGATGAAGTTAGTGATTCATGGAAAGGGTGTCTCTGGATTTCAGAATTACTCAACATCTTGTTATGCCCTGGTCGTCATTGCTCTGCCGCGACTTCGGCCATCTATCGCATTTTGCTCTGGCATGCTTGGCTCCTCTAATTATCGCTTGGTTCCTGTAAGCAATAATCCTAGTCATCGAGGCAACATCATCCGAAGCCCACAACACTTGCAGAACCTGGGGTGGGTTAGGAGCCACATCCAGCAAGAATCGACACGCGGGATCCATGGGCTGCCAGCACCGCAATCCTTCTTGGAACCGTAGAGCTCCAGCCTGAGCCAGTGATTTCGTGTGGTTAAGCGGTTAAGCAGCACGGAACAGATGGCTTCATGGCAAGTGACCAACATGGCATGCCGTGTGTTCGAAGCTCGTCCAAGCCACAGATGGAAAAACTCAACATGACATCAAGAACTGCGCACTGTCCTTTTGGTCGAGCCCCACGTAGGTCCAAATCGGGGTTTGCGGCTCCTCGAGGTGCAAGTCACCGATGGCAGGGTCGAACCCGCAAGAAACAGAAGTACAGGCTGCTCCTTTGGAAGCACCCAAGAGTGTGAAGTTGCAACCCCTTGCTTATCAAGGTGAACCTTGCGACAGCAACGGTGGCTTTACTGATGCAATGCTTGAAGCCGTGATGCCTGAACAACCGGACGGAAGCGTGCTGTCTGGGGTTGCATCAGCAGGAACAAACAGTTGTTGGGCAGCTCTCAGGACATCGCTGCTTAGGAAACAGGATAGGAGCGTTACTGGAACGGCGAGTTTGCATGTTTAGCAAAGATGACATACTCACAAAAATGCTGATCACTGCAAAAGAGACGACCTTGGACGTCACACGCGACGTCACACCAGCTGCCGAATGTGGTTTCAGGGACTCGGATCCTAGGAGATTCCCTCCCGAGCCTCGATGATCCCTGACCCACCTGTTCTGGAAGGTTCACACTAGTTTTGCTATGACCTTACAGCCACAATAGCTACAGCTAGAGGTACCGCATGAACCTTCAAGCACACCATTGTACAATGGAGTCGTGCCCCAAGAGCATATCACAGTCACTCCGCGCAGACTCTCAAAGGCCCCAATGCTGCCAAATGTAGTACTAACTAGAATGGGGTTTTGGGAATTCCTAGATTACGACCTGCTTTTCATGAGCAGGCTCAGACCTGTGTGAGCAGCGGGGAGATTCTTGGCAGAGTGACTGCAAAAAGGCGTGGTCATAGTTGTGGAGGCGACTCCGAGCCACATCGTGAGCAAACATGTCGCATACCTGGCGGTATTTTGGCAATGAGGAACAAGAATCAACCTCCACAGGCAAGAACTTGTGCAAACTGTAGGATCTTGCAGAAAATGATGGCTTCTCGCTGAGCGCAGCTGCGTTCGCTGCAGCTAGAGCCGCGCTTCGGATGATGTGCTGCCTTTGGCAGTCCTCTCATAGAGACATTGCTTCAGCAAGCTCAGGTGGGGGCGATCAGATTGCCTGGACTTCTTCCGGCAACCCAAAGACGTCGCCCTCCTTTGAAAAACCGAGGCTAGCCTTCGACGGTCTCTTCAGTCAGGCCTCACGGCCGGAGCAACGACTTGCTGCTCTCTTCAGCCACGGTCGGCCCCACGTGTGCTCTTTTTGTCACTAGCAGCGCTCGCAGGCTTAGCTGTAGCCTCCACTGTCTGCAAGACCTTGTCGATGCCCATCTCAAAGCGGATCATGTTCTCGGTCATGGAGTTCTGGATCTCGGAGACTTTCGCATCCAAAGTGCCGGTGACGTGCGATTGGTTGTCTTTCAAAGGCGTCAGCTCCTTGCGCAGAGCTTCGCTCACTTGTGTCAGGCTCTCTTGCGAGCTCTCACGCTGTTGTTGAGTCAACGCCATCGCCAAGGCGGCCAGCTCTTGACGAATACTTTCGGTGATTTCGGCCTGGTTGCCGGCGGTGCTGGAGTTCGTGGCGGTGGCGGTCTCCATGCGCGCGGCACTCTCCTCCAAGCGCGCCACCATGTTGTGGACAGCATCCTTGAAGGAGCTGCCACCATCTTCCCCATCGCCCAAGAAGGCATCCTGCATCTTGCTCATCTGCTTCATGATGACATCACGGATTTGCATCTCCATGTTCGCGGCGGAATCACGCATGATCTCCGTGCGTGTGAAGCTTTGCAGGGACTCAGCACTTGTGTGCATTGTTTCCTGCGCCTGAGTCAACAAGTCCAGGATCATCATGTTCTGGCGGCGGACATCTGACATGCGCTCCTCCTGTGCGTTGGCTGACTTCTCGGTGGCATCCACCATGGCGTTGCCTTGCTCCGCAAGAGTAGCCAAATCGGTTCGGAGGGAGGTGAGGATTTTGTCCGAGCACATCGTCTGTGTTCGGGACGTGCTTTCACCGACCTCGGAGAGCTTCTTGCCGATATTTGTCTCCATCTCCACCATGCGGCGTTGCGTGAACTCGTTTCCTGAGTCCACCTTCTTGGCCAAAGTTGTCTGCGTTTGTGCGACACCCTGGAGCACGGCATGCGATTCGTGGGTCTGCTTCAGGAGATCCTGCTGCGTGGTGTCCAACTTCTTCAGCATGGCAGCGGAGGAGGTGTTCACAGTGTCCAGGAGAGCGCTCTTGGTGTTGTCGCTGGCGCTGTCGATGTTCTCAACCAGGCCCGAATAGGATTCCACCATGCGGTCGACGATGCTCTTCTGCGTGTCCATCTTCTGCATGACTGTCTCTTGCGAGGAGTCGAGCTTGTGAAGGAGCACTTGGCAGGCGTTCACAGTCTGAAGAAGAGAGACCTGGGAGAAGTCCATGCGCTGAGAGATGGCCTCCTGCGTGGTCTCAAGCTGCCTTTGCACGTTGTCTTCCAGAACCTGTGCTCAGTTTTAGCTAAAGCATATGACTACCGTTGGAATTGGAGTTGTTTTCCCTCTAATAACCTAGTGGCAATGCAGCCTACGAGGGCCTGCACTATGGAATCTGAAAACTGCCCTGCCCCGGGGACCTGCAGTCGGCTCATCATCATATCCTGGAAGGGCACCATGACGCGGTTCATGACGGTCATCAACTGCTCCTCGATGGCAGCGGGGTCCATGCCCATCATGCCTGCACCTGCCAAGGGTGGAGTCGCCATACCGGAGTACATCCCAGGCAAGGAGCCAGCCAAGTTCTTGCCCACCATGCGCTCCTTGTTGGCCTCCAGGAGTTTCTTGAAAGGGTCCTCCTTCTCAATGGAGCCGCCGCTGTCCTGGCCCATGTTCATCTTCTCGGCCGTCCAGCGGCGCTGGGCTGCATCAATGAGGGCATAGGGCAGGTTCAGTTCCATGCACCTTTCCGCATTCAAGCGCTCCAGGACCGCCGTGTTCGTCACCCCGTTCTCCACCATCAGCCTTAAAAGTCGGTCGGTATGGCTGCTCATCCCAAGGGTGACCATGGTCTCGGCCACCAGCTCCACAAGCTTCAGCTCGCTCTCTGCCTCCTCACCAACACCCAAGCCATAGGCTTCGGCCTTCACGCCTCCATTTGCGACTCCATTGGTCAGGGCCTGCTTCTTCAAATCCTCATCATTCACGTCGTCCGATGGGGACAGGCCGTAGAGCTCCCGTGCCGCCTCGATCTTGCGCTGGTGACTCATCTTGTAGAGCTGCATCATGATAATGAAGAGGAATTTGGAGACAATGTTCAGGACCACCCAGCCCATCTCGATGATGAAGCCATCCGTGATGAGTCCGAAACCTTCCACACTCATCATGAACCAGAGAGGGAAGGGGAACCAGGTGACGATCAGCACGATGGACAGCTTGCGGAAGTCGGAATCGCCGTGGAAGAGCGACTCCTCGCCCTCACTGTTCTCCCTGATCTGAATCGCGTTGTGCCAGAACATGATGAATGCCAAGCAGAGGCCGAAGGCATACCAAGCGTAGCGCAAGGCATCTCCGGTGAACATGGAGGCAGTTCCACAAAGCAAAACGGCCACAGAGATCAATGGCATCATGAAGCGGCGATAACTCGGAACACGAGCACCTGCCAGCACCACGAGCTTCAGCTGCATGATGGGACAGGTGAGAATCCACTCCACGGGGCGGGACAAGTTTAGGGTGAAGGCGCTCCCTCGACCGGGGAGGTCGAAGTCGTCAATGGCGGTCAACTGCAAAATGTTGAAGAAGCCGGAGAAGAGGGCGACGGCGGTACTGATGGTGGCACAGATCTGGTGCCTTTGCTCCAACGGAGCCTTCTGAGCCACTGCCACTTTCGAGTTGTTGGCGAAGATCAGCCACATCGCAAGAGTCATGAAGCCGACTCCTTGGACGATCTGGGCGATGTTGTGGGGATCTTCCAGGTCCACGGATTCCGAACACTCTTCGGTTTGCAGGCGTCGATTGAGCTGGGTGGCCACCTCGTTGATTGCCTGGACTGCGTCGTAGAGACGATCCTGTGGGGTCAATGGCATGGTAGGATCCATGATGCGAAAACCTGTGAGATCCGAACAGGCAGGTCTACGCGAGTGTTATCTCGAGCCTGAGCGCGACTGTGACATAACAGCAACCTCGACAGAATGTTCTGGCATTGCGCACGCTCAACTCCGACATGTCAATGTGAAGACCTGCGCTCGTCTTTACATTCCATTTTTATCTTCTTCCACCGCGGCCAAGGAGCTGGTCAGGCCCCCTGGCCACATGGGCCCCCCCAGTTTGTTGGGCGCACGGACCAGGTGTGAAAAGGTCCAGGCGGTCGTCCCCGCCATTTTTATCTCTCTCTCTCTCTCTCTTTCGTCGCCAGCGGAGGGGAAGCTCTCTCTCTCTCTCTGTCTCTCTCGCCCCCTCTCTGTGTGCCTGCCTGCCTGCCTGGCCGTCTGTCTGTCTGTGTCTGTGTGTCTATCTGCTTTCTCTCTCTTTGGCTTTCCCGGTACGAGGATGCGACATTCGCCGGGGTGCAAGCACCGGGTTTGATGGCCACATGTGAGCCCCGCTGTAGGCTGCAACATCCATGTGTTCTTCTTCAGCACAGCCAAAAGAGCAGGGGGACCCCCCTCTAGTTACTTTCCGCAAAACCATGCCCCTCTGTCTCTCTTTGCTCGATGAGATTCTCAAAGTTGTTGCAAGCAAGCCTCGCTGAGTCGAAGGCAGCTTGTCGTAGCGGCCACCTCCGCAAACGGCGCGTAACACGCCAGCGCGGTCGAAGCCTTCGAAAACGACGCCAGTGTAGTAGGCCAGGCCTGGGCACTCGTTTCGCGGGGTCTCAACAATCGAGGCTTTGCGTGGGGCCGGGCAGCAAAACCAGAGAGTGTCACGGACGATCTACGACACAGAACATCATCTTTTTCGGGCTGATAGCATTCAAGATATCAGCTTGATCCGCCTCTTCCCGGCCTCGGACCACGGAGGCGTCGAACTGCAGCCAATCAGCGAATCCATAATCCTGGAGAGTTACAATACGAATATCGTGCTGAGGACTGCTGACTGCTGTGGCACTGGGTGAGTCCACTTCGCTTGTACTTGCCGGCTTTTGAGGTTCGCGTCTTGTGAAGGCGTCGTGCTTTCGTGCTCTAAGCTAAGATCCAGATGGAAAATGTCCACAGAGTCCACAGGCAATCAAGACAAAAGCTCAAGATCTTCAACGCTCATCGAATACATGGCTCCGTACCGAACCAGATTGCATTGTGAGGAGGGAAGGGAGGGAAACATGGATAGAAACCTAAACCTTCGCCGTATCTCCTTGCAGTCCTTGCATACTCCAAGAATTGCTTCGACATCAAAGGAACGTGCTGACCGCATGGACAAGCCTGACTCTTCACACAGTGTTGTTACGGCAACATGAAGAATAATACTCCAAACGGCGTTGCAATCCGACCCCAACTGCTCTAACTCCGGCTTGCTAAACCGCTGTTTTGGAAAACCCCCTTACTCTTGGCGAAACGAGCTTCGGGCACATCAGAAAGCTACGGTCAAGGAAGTTTCAGTCTCAGCAGAAAACCTTACTAACTCGTGAACTTGCCTGTCCCATGACCAAAAGTCCAGCGCGCTCCCCAGCGCTCGGCCGTAAACCCAGAGAGCTCGTCCTCCGCCAAAGCAAAGAGCCGCCTCAACTCCTTGACCTCCTCGCTCTCACCGACCTGGCGAGCCGGGAAAAGGACCCCTGGGACCCCTGGGTTCGGTTGGAAGCTCCTAAAAAAAGGTGGGTTTAGGGTTTAGGGTTTAGGGCTGACACTAGTCATTAGTTCTCGCTCGCGCTGCACAGTTTGCCGGGCTTCGCACATGCTATAGATTGAATGCCGTGTGTCCGACAGGTCGAAGTGCTTAAAACGCTTCAGTTTACACCACTCCGGTCTTTCAATGCTGCCCTAACAAGTTTAAGCTTGAGGCTTCTGTGACTTCTGTGTTTGCAGCACTGCAAAGCAGTCAATTCACGTACTAGCGCATGACCTCCGGACTCAGTGGAACATCACACTTTAAATTCTGAAGGCATAGTGCAGCAAAACCTTGGTGCATGCACCAAAAGCAGACAATAACAAGGTGCTTTTAAACTTACAAATCCAAGAGTCTGGTATCACGTGTTGCAGGTGCTACAAATTGCCCTATTTCTGCGATGTTGTTTGCTTCGGGGCTCCCTTGGACTTGTCCGGCGCACAGCTGCTGTGCAGCTATGCATGTCACACCATCGAGTTCGCTGCTGAAGGGTAAGTTAAACACTATACACATGCATATGTGACCTGATGGGCAGATCAGTCGACACAGGTGTGGTCACGTACCCAGTTCCGGCCACATACGCGTGATAGCTGGTTTCTACGCCGGCGGAGGTGAAGCTTCAATCGGCAGAACGAAGTCACCAGCAACTATCAGAGTGTCGTGTACAAGTTGCACACCAGCATCAGACCGTGACCAGAACAGCTGCTGTAACATGAAGCGCCGTTTGCATATCCGAAAATGACGAACCACATCCAACAGTCAAGATTTCATATCTGCCGCAGCGGACAGGCGGCTCTGGAAATTGAAGCTACCCCGAACCTGGCTGACACCATGTCCAGTTCTTGGCAGTGGTAATCCCAGCAATTCGACAGCGTGCAAGCATTGCAACCCGCAAACACAACAAACTACACTGCACCCCTCTTGCGTTCTCGAGAGTTCGACAGCAGAAAGCAGTGCATCATTGCGTTTGCAGCATTCTACACCAAAGGCTGTCGTCGTAAGAGTCCGGCGAAAGATGCATGCAAACACTTCCGAACACATTTCAGTTGCCAAACGTGAAGCTGTCGAGAAGAGACTGATGCCCTTCGATGATTTAGCCATATTACGTAGCATACTCCATCCGCGATCGGCTCAATCCCCAAAGCTCCAATCCATGCGATGTCCCTCCGCGCTGAGCTCTGCGCCCCAGCGATCTCAGCAAACTCCTGGCCCCAGCTGCACGTTACCGGTAATCTATTGCCTTCGCGTTAGGAAAAGTGTGGGCTTCTCCTTGGGGCCAGCCACAAAGAATAGGTCGAGCGTTCTTGTAAGCATCCACACTGGGTGTGAACCGTACTGAATAGGTACACTGACCCCTTTTTCCACAGCACATCTGGGAACTGCGCCCATCGGCCTAGATGCAAGACCGCGTGGAAACCACAAAGCCAATATTCCCGAACCACAATGTGGAACAAGCAGTCCGAACTCCCCTGCCAGCACGTAAGTCGCCGCTACTGCTACTGCTACTACTACTACTACTACTACTACTACACCAGTACGGCCACTACTCCTGCTACTACGACTGACTGTGACTGGCTAGCTGAATAACGAACTAACTAATCAATCAAGACTGGCCACCACCACTACTACTGCGACGACGACGACTACTACTACTACTAGTACTACTACTACTATTACTGCTGCATGCTGGACGACAACTACTACTATGACTAGAATTGTGATTCGGATTACCCGTGTGCTGATTACCGCGGTGTTTTCGGAAGGCTACGTCTCAGTCAATCCTCCAGTGTCTGCGCGCCCGTCGCTGCGACGATCGTCTCGGCCACTTCGGCACTGAGGCCGACCTCACATATAGAAATACAGAGAGCCATTCAGGGCTTTATGGTTGGGTGTGGAGTTTGGGCCATGAGGGTTTCACCATCAAGTCAGCTTGAGGTTTCAGCCGAGATCTGTTTTCTTCGACTGGATATGTTCCTCTGGCCTTCAGGCTAGGCAGGCTCAACCACTTCAACCCGCAGACTTGCATGATTCGCCAGCTTATTTATAGCACTGGCAGTAGTAGTAGTAGTAGTAGTAGCAGCAACAGCAGCAGTAGCAGCAGCAGTAGCGGTAGCAGTAGCCGTAGCAGTAGCGGTAGTAGCAGCAGCAGCAGTAGCAGCAGCAGTAGCGGTAGCAGTAGCCGTAACAGTAGCAGTAGTAGCAGCAGCAGCAGCAGCAGCAGCAGCAGCAGCAGCAGCAGTCGTCGTCATTAGCATAGGAGCTTCGAGCCTCTTATCTTGCGTCCTCCATGGATTTGGGGATCTAAGATACGCGACACT